ACATCTGTTGTATTAGAAGTAGTTATTGCTGCCATGATTGTCTTTGATTTTGTATTTTATTTACACAAAGATTTACCCCGAAGATCGCCATCTTTTCATTCACTATAATGGGGGATCCTGTTTTCTGCAAACAATGCCTGCAGTACCACGGTCGGCCTTGAATTTACGTGGCGTCAATGAGAGAGGGCAGAGGCCAAATCAAGCTCCATACCGCATCGCTGTGTGCCTCTCACATTTTGTAACAATGCGGAGGGCTCCGTATAGCACCGCATTGACATGACTGATTGACGGTAGGTGGGGGCGGGAGGTCCTGTATAAACACAAACTCACTTCCTTGACTACTTCCTTCACAACAGCTCTGCGCTGCTCCACAGAGGCCTTATCACCATAAATGCTGCACGGCCAGTGCAGACATCGGATTGACCATGCAGCTCCTTCTAGTGGCACTGAGTGCTGCTGTTGCTTACTGTGAGTGAAGGAGCCTGTACAGAACTTTGGGTACATCTCAATAGTCTAAAAGTGGCTTCCTCTTATGTGCACTAAGATGAAAATACAGCATAGGATATGCTTTCACCAGTGGAGTGGGTGAGGGAAAGGAAACGAGGAAAGAGAGAGAGTATTGAGATGCATCTTCTATGAGAGAAAACCAAAGCCAGGTGGCCATCTATGAATGTCAGTTCGTCTGTGTTACTTTGTGTAACAGTCGGCCCAGCATGTCCATTCTTCCACCAGGTGTCAATGGCTCCCATCCAAAATATATAATATTGTCTGTTGTTGGGTTATTGTCATCGCTGATAAGTGAAAGAGAAAGCCACAAAGTCTGATGGCTTTTCATTGGTCTTGTGGTTAATACAGGCAGGAGAAAAGTCCCCAAAAGTTCTAATTCGTAATGTCTCACACATGATGTCTTCATGACAATGTTACATTTCGATGTTAGATGTTGTGGTGTAGCTAAATATTAGATGCACAAGAGAGTTCAACCTTACTGTGACTGGTGTGCAGAAGTTGCAACCATGCATGAAATGATAAAATGAGAGTTCGTTTCTGGGGGGAAAGTTTATAAGGCTGTGCCAAACCCTGGCACATGCAACAGGAATGTTCTGTCAAGTCATTACAAGCCATTGAGTCCCAAATGTTCCCTCGTTGTTTCCTTTGAATAGAACCCATTTCCTTTAAATTAGCTTTCTTCTTTGAAGGGATGTTTTCACACTACTGTTTGAGTTCTTAGATGCTTGAAATCAACACTTTCGAGATAGAAAGGTCTAAAAACATCCCAGAGTACAGTAACCTGCTGAGGAACTACTTTAGAAAGGGGAATACAACGCATATAAAGGAGAAATGGTGAGAGGTACAACCAACTTTTTCTTGCCCAACCACTCACTCCATCACTTCTCCATTAAACAACAAAAAAAGTCCATTTTCTCTTCTTGTAGCCGTGCAGGCTTGAGAGGGTAGGAAATGTGGTGGGAGTTGGTCAACATTCCATCTCATTTCAAAGATGCCCCAGTGCCCCTAAAGTGGACAAAGCACTAGTAAAAGCTCCATGGAGAGGGAGAACAGTTCCTCGCTTGTCCTTTAGTTAATGGACCAGGCCTAAAAGCTCCTTCCCCTTTCAACCTCTCAGAGGCAGCCAGAGTAAAGAGGTCTGGCAGCTCTGCAGGTCCCCTGTAACAGCTCTTTGGCTGTGTAAGCTAACCATCCCCTTTATTCTTGCTTTGTCCGGTCCTAAGAGAGAGAGAGAGAGAAAGGGGACAAATATTAGAAGAAGACCACTTAAAAAATTCAGCCAGAGAGAATGACCAAAACCTCATTCATTGACATTTCACTGCTCAGAGGAGCTGAGCTGGTCTGGTTTAAGAGCAAAACTGTAGTTACACAGAGTTTGGAAAACTATCCTCCAAACGATTGGTGCCAACTTAGTGCCCATTAGAATTCTACATCTCAAACCAAGTTTGCTGAACTTTGCAGAAGATTTGTATGGCTTTGGCTTTAGTCGCAATAGTCAGGGCCTAAGGAGTTGAATTACGATTGGTACTTTGGAGTGTACTTTTGACTTTGTCTCTTAGGACTCTGGCTCATGATATATTGGAGAAGTGTGATTCATACAGTAAGCTGACCTGGTACAAGCTTAAAACAGCCAGGCAGGGATATGTCCAAAATGCCAAGAGGGGAGAAGGATGAGGCGGAAGGGCATAACGTATGCGCTCGGTACCGATAGGCCACTGTCGCCTCTGGTCTAGGATTACCACGGAAATGTGATCGTAAATCCACCTGACTAATCACCATGACAACGGCCCAGAGTGCAGGAACTCAAGCCACAGCCTCTCTCCCAGTGAGGAATTAGTGTCAACTTTTGAAAATGTAAACTTAACGACTTTGCAAACTACCTCGGCAAAGTCGCATGAGTCACCCACATTAGAGCTGGATCATTTTAGACACCTTTATGGGGATAGAAACTCCACGTTTTGGGGTAATCTGGCCCAACAGAAATTAAGTACCTGATGAGTGTCGACAAGCTGTGAAAAGAAACTGTAACGCAGTGTGTCGTGCCAGGGCGAGAGACAGAGATAGAAAGAGTCACCACATTCTGTCATTTGAAGGGAAATGGTTGGCTGAAAGTGTGAAATGCAGTGTGGCATCGTTGGGAAAGGTTTCCCGTTGTCGGTGGCGACAACACTATTATTATTAGACTTCATGTTTTATTCAAAGTTGCTCTTAGCATATGGCTTGTTTCCCATCACATAAGGTTGCTATGCTAGTGGCAGACCAAACTATGGAGTATTAAAATGCAGATGCACTGAGGAATGTACACACCTATCAGAGCAGAGGCATCCAAGCAGCACATTTCTATATCAACACGGCCTAATGGGGGGTACAGCACAAAAGGTCAGAGCACGTTACCACCATGTTCAATCTCAAATTTAAGCATGGTAGTGGGCTGGTGATGAAACAGCCAGAGGCTCTCTGTTCTGTAGCGGTGTATTGTATTGTTTTAGCCTTCATGTTATTAGAGCCTGCAGCGTGTTCTATGTCTTCGTTGTTGGCAGCTACTGCAGTGCTGATGTGGGAGGAGAACTGATGCCCCTAGAGCTGAGACAGTCAGCCTGAACACCCACACACACACGTATACAGAGTAGACATACATCCACACACACACACACACACACACACAAGAGTACACCATACACAGTACATACACAGACAGAAGACCTGCAACACACACACACTTCCACACAGCAGACCACAGAGGTCCAACAGAGAGGCCAGGCCTGTGGGTCAGCCATCAGTGAGACCCTGCCAGGCTCCTCTCTCTTTGCTGTTGTCTCTCACCCTGGGGTGTTCCACTAGAGGTTATCCACAACTGAGGGGTCAAGGTATAGTCAGAAGTCAGAATTCTACATGCATATTGAGTTGCCTCACACCCACAACACTCAAGGAACACTTTGGGGGATCTGACCTATGTATGTATAAATGTTACAGCTTAAATACAAGCTCGGAGCTGGGGAAAGGCTTGTCAGGTAAAGTGATTAGTGAAAACGTCCAAGGACAAGCTGAAGGGCACTTTAGTTTTTTTTTTACTCAGGAAACAAAGTGGCATGAACACTCACTAAAGATATCTTATCTGTCTAACTGTGTGATCAAATATTATTCAAGCTAAAAGGGTTCAATTATGTTTTTGAACTTCGCAAACTCGAAAAACCTTATAACATACATTCTCAAAGATCCAGTTTCTACAGGATCATTTACACTGCATCTGTGTTTTTCACCCTTGTTCTACAACATTAATACATTTATGACAAACTGAAGCTACTTGAATATGTTGTCTGTGAGCAGCTATAAAGATTAAGATACTAGTCTGTCCAACTTCATTGGACAGTTTCACTTGACTTATCATTAACCTATCACTCTCTATTCCTCTCTCTGTCACACACACTTTCTCTCATTACCTTTCAAATCAGCAGCAAGAGGTAGTTATGAGACACACCCTTCTCAGAGATAAGTACAGCAGCCCCACAAAGCCTCCTTACTTAAGCATTAACTACCCACCCCTTGCTGAAGGAACCTACAAGGAAATAGGAGGATTTATTTGAGAAGGAGCTCAGAAGTTATCAGAAACAGCTACTCAAAGAAGAAAGGGACAAGCACTTCTTCACATTGAGTTGAGTCAAGTTTGCTTCGGTATCTGTCAGACCTATGTCACCAGCAATATAACTTATCTAGCTGTACTTTTAAAGGCCCAGTGCAGTCAAAAACGTAATTGTCCTGTGTTTTATATAGACTGAGTGTACAAAACACCTGCTCTTTCCATGACAAACTGACCAGGTGAATACAGGTGAAAGCTATGATCACTTATTGATGTCACCCTCCTGCAAGAGGGTGATCAAATTAAGATCCTACATCTGTACTTCTCTTGTAAGGCTCAATCAGTTACATGAATGAGTGCACTGTGTTTGCAACAGGTGAAGGTGAATATCAGGTAGACTGGGTGAGAGTGACATACTAGTGTAACGTGACCAAGATGAAGCTGTTCACCGAGCGAACTGTGATACTTTGGCTCTGTGTTGCCGTCGCACTCACAACAGCAGGTAAGCAAATCAAGTTGAAACTTTACTTTTAAAGACACTCTTTCTTTGTCTACCGCAGTGTTTCCCAACCCTGGTCCTCGTACCTCCACAGTACATATTTTCATTGTAGCCCTGGACGAGCACAACCAGTCAATCATCATTTCTTTACAAGCTGAAGCTTGTGACTTGCAGGACTAATACACAGCCGACCATAACTACATGGTTACTGTAACAATATTTGTATTTCATGTGGCTGAGTGTCAGTCTGATTCTGCATGTCTTTGGTACTTGCCAATACAACAATGTAGCTTTGGCCCCAAACTAGTAGGCCCATAACGCAAATGGTTCAAGTCAGGAACAAGCATTAGTTGAGCACAGTCATTCCAAGAGAGCTAAGTGAAGAAACTAACTCCAATATCTCCTTAATCCACAGAGCTGGTGAAGCTAAACACTGTTGACTCTCTGATCGTGCCATGTCACCAGAGTGTCACGCTGCAATGCAGCATCTCCACCTCCCAGGAGGGGCTGTCAGTCACACACATGGCCTGGGTCCGCCAGGATGGGAAGTGCCTGTGTGATGTTAACGAGACTGGGGTGACCGGGACCCACCCAGGGAACACACCTAGTGTAATGGAGTGTAGTTATACCCCACAGACACAGCTGACCCTGACCCTGCTGCAGGTACAGCCACTGGAGCAGGGAAAGTACTTGTGCAAGCTGCGCTCCAATAAAGGGGTAAAGATGTCCACCACAACGGTGAAGCTGCAAGGTGAGTGTCCTAGCCCATTCTCACTCATGTAATACTGTCATAACCTAGACGTCTATCATGCATGTATTCCGAAGCCATTGACCAGAAGCTGGTGGAAGAAGCTATAGGAGGACTGGCTCATTGTAATGTAATGGCTGGAATGGAATAAATGAAACGGTAGTCTTGTTTGACTCCGTTCCATTAATTCCATTCCAGCCATTACATTACAATGAGCCAGACCTCCTATAGCTCCTCCCACCATTCTCCTCTGCCATTGGCATTGTGCACTGTTCGTCAATATTGCATATAGGTCAGTGGGAGCTGATGGCCATTGCTTAACTACATGGGAATTTACAGTGCCTCCACTGAGCAAAATGTATGAATAATGGTGTCAGGGGGCTTACGGAAGCACATTGCACCATTTCTCAAGAACTCTCCAACCTCAGCCATAATAATTGTGTTAAAAAAAAACTTGCTCTGTTTCCATTCAGAGTGCTACAGGACGGTCCAGCCCAGCATCAGTGATGAGGGCCCAACCTGCACCTTCACTGGGGTCTACCCTGACGGAGAGGTGCACTGGTTCCAGGGACCCAACAACGTGACTGGGGAATCTAAAATCAACACTAAACAAGTGGAGGATGGAGGGTCGTTGACTGTGACTAGTTCCCTGAAAAGAAAGACCGTCTCTGGGGAAGGGTCCTACAACTGCTCCCTGTGGATCCCCAGTACTGGAGCCTACCTGACCAGCAGTTTAGTGGTGCCAGAGCATGGTGAAGCCAGGGTTAATGTGCTCAATGCCAGCGGGGCAGGGGCCATTGGTCCTATGTGGAAACCCTGGGTGTTTCTAGTCCCCCTGAGTACTCTCTTCCTGGTGTGACGTCTTGAAAACAAACATTACTTTACTGAATCATTAACTCAAATGGACCAGGAAGCGCCAGGATCATTTAATGAATATGGAAGAGCCATTGTGTGAGGTTCCTTTCATGGTCCAAAGGTTTCCTTGGCTGCGGAGAACAAGGAAATGATGGCCAGATGAGAGAGGCTGATAACCTGGCGCAAATCAGTGTATATATAACGGGTGGAACTGTCAAACTATTGTGAATGCACCCTTGTTGGTCTGCCAGTGCCAGGTGTATTAGATTGTTAATTAAAAATGGCAAACAGCAGTAGAAACAATAACAAAGTTTACTTCCCGCCCATTTTGGTAAAAACCTGAGGGATGGGCCTGGAGAAATGTAACCACTCTCAAATTCATAGACAGAGCTGTGGATGCAAGGATTGACCATCCATGATATCAAAATGATAGTTTTAACCATGTTTTGAGGCTATATGGTGTTTTATTAAATTTACTTTGTTTACAAATATTGGTGCAAAATAAGCTTATATTTTGGGTTCTGATGGGGTACGACAGTTGAACTAAGCTCATGAGGCATTTATAAGTTATATTCTTCAAGAATTAATGGGTACATATTTTTAAAAATGGATGCAGCAACTGCTGAGTGCCCCTTTAAGGGCGTGGCCTTTTGTATAAAAGCCTTCCTATTTGTGTCAATCAGGGAGATCCCCTTACTGGTTGGCCTGCTATGGGAGGACAGGAGTGGTGGTTTAATTGACCTGATTTATTTTTTAAGCTTGAGAAATAGGAATGATTGTAAATGTAGTGTTTATTGGCGCCCATAGTCCACCTAGACACTCTCCTTCGCCCTGGGCACACCGTCTGTGAGTGTTACAACACCAATGTTTGATTGAATATGAATTGTGTGAGAAACTTCATGTTAGTAGTAATGTTTGTTTGAGAGCTCTGGCATTGCTGCTAACCATTGAAGTGTGACAGATGTGGGGAACTCTTAGAGCTGAGGATAATGTATGGAAATTGTGCATTGTGATGCTGAAACAAAAATAAATTGTTGTCTGAGTCCCACGCTCCACTCCTTTTTAACCACCCTCCTGTGATCCACTAACTATGCTCTTTCATTGCAGTTCACGCCCTCTGTCTCCTTTACAACCCGTGGTGCACCTGTGTTCAGGGTCAAGCACCTCTGGCAGCACGTCCATGGCGCTGGAGTACAAGATTCAAGCTGTCGGGCCATACTAGAGTGTCTGAAGCTAGCTCACAGTGGCGTCCGTCCTAAACATTGTTTGCCCTGCGTTCAGGGTTGTCGGCTCTTTTTTGTTGTAGTTCTTGCTCTAAGCGCCACTCCCCCGCTCCAGGTAGATTCCTTATAAGAACGAAATGATGTACGATGTAACTTATTCCTCTTAAAGAGACAGTAATGTGATTGTAGTCCTAGGTATTCTAATTGTCTGGTAGTGCACAAGTCACCTTCCGGGTATTTATTACTATTTATACTGGTAAACAGTTGGTTTTTGAATCTTGAAACTGAAGAATCTTGTTATTTTTTTATAGTATTGCCTCGTCCATTGCATTGCTCAATAGGTGGCCTGTCACAAACCTACCTTATACTGGTTAAGGTGTTCCCCCTCATTAACAGGAACTGTATTAGTCTGGTAGTTGCGCCATTTTAGGTATCCCTAGTCAGCAGGTGTTGCATATACACTGAGTGTACAAAACATTACGAACATGACATGGACTGACAAGGTGAAAGCTATGATCCCTTATTGATGTCACTTGTTAAATCCACTTCAATCAGTGTAGATGAATGGGAGGAGACCGGTTAAAGGCCTTTTTATGTCTTGAGACATGGATTGTGTATGTGTGCCATTCAGAGGGTGAATGGGTAAGACAAAAGATTGAAGTGCCTTTGAACCGGGTATGGTAGTAGGTGCCAGGCTCACTGGTTTGAGTGTCAAGAACTGCAACGCTGCTGGGTTTTTCACGCTCAAGTTTCCCGTGTGTATCAAGAATGGTCCACCACCCAAAGAACATTCAGCCAACTTGACACAAATGTGGAATGCTCTTGACACCTTGTTGAGTCCATGCCTTGATGAATTGAGGCTGTTCTGATGGCAAAAGGTGTACAACTCAATATTAGGAAGGTGTTCCGAATGTTTTGTACACTCAGTATACTGCACAGGTGATTTCTGAGCAAGGCTCGCTGTGTGTGTGTGCATACGATAAATTACCTTGTTTGGATCTAAAACACAATAGATGTTTAGGAGATATCGAATGCAAATACTTCAACTGGACAAAGAAATACAGGGAATACCACTGGGCAAACCGGAAAATTGTGTGTTGAATGTCGATCTCTCTTGTTGGCAAAATGTGCCCTCTGCTGGAGTTTGTCTGCTGCTGCAATTGTGGCCAACCTCACTTTCAGTATGAGTGATCAAAATACACTGACTAAATAAGAGGCTACTGCAAGAAGGGAAATGGATGCTCTGAGATATGCCCCTAAATAAGAACCTCTCTCCACATCTCATCTGGCCCTTATGGCACGTTCACGTGCTAGTCGAAACTAGGAAACAAGAAAATGTCAGACTTGCCAACTGGTTATATTTATACACGTGCAGCATTCAACCAGTTAGCAAGTCGAAAATATATGTGAAAGCACCATTAGGATGGGGTCCAGGGGTTATCTACACACAGTGACCCATTTCACCCTCTTGGGCTAAGTGCATCGTTTCTCCTAACCTTTGCGCCAAAACACTTCTTCATTCATTTAAGCAAGGTTTTTGGGAGGCTTTTCAAGTCTGCCCACTTTGCTCAAATAGTCCAGCTAAAGTCAGCGCTAGATGGGGTCTGGCTTTGCTTTTAGTGAGAGGTTAAAAATGCCCTCTGTCAAGACTGGAAAATGACTTGGTCATGCTGTACTTGGAAAATTCTGTCAATGTCCTGTTAACACACACCACACCTTATCGTCACTGAGGAACCTAATAGTTCCTCATGAGCGGTGCAATGTGTACTTGGGTGTAATCATCAGTCCAAACTGTTTTGCAAGACGTTAATCAAATGCCACCACCGACTGCTTCGTTGTTGAGATTCAATGGGCACATGCACATTGTTGCCATCTTAGAGCAACAGCAATGAGCAGTCAGCGGTTGTATTTAATTAATGTTTTGCAAAACGGTTTGGACCAGTGGAGGCTCCTCAGCGGAGGAAGGGGAGGACCATCCTCAGTGAATTTCATAAAAATGGTAAAACATTGAAAAACTATACTAAATATATTCACGTCACCAAATAATTGATTAAAACACACTGTTTTGCGATCAAGGTCTACAGTAGCCTCAACAGCACTCTGTAGGATAGCACCATGGTGTAGCTGGACAGCTAGATTCCGTCCTCCTCTTGGTATATTGACTTCAATACAAAACCTAGGAGGCTCTTGGTTCTCAACCGCTTCCATAGACTTACACAGTAATTATGACAACTTCCGGAGGATGTCCTCCAACCTATCAGAGCTCTTGCAGCATGAACTGACATGTTGTCCACCCAATCAAAGGATTGGAGAATGAATCTAGTACTGAAAGCATAAGCTACAGCTAGCTAGCACTGCAGTGCATAAAATGTGGTGAGTAGTTGACTCAAAGAGAGAGAAAGACAATAGTTAAACAGTTTTCTACAAATTAATTTATTCAAAAATGAAGGAGAAGCAAGAGAGAGATTTTGTCCTTTTTTTTCACTTTCTGTTTCACTTACTTAGCTAGCAAATGCAGCTGGCAAATTTAGTTACTCAAACACCCGGGCTCAAACAGAGGGATGCTATGTTAGCTAGCTGGTGATGACTATCCAACACAACACTGGAACTTTTCCAAGTCAAGGTAAGCTTTTGGTTTTATTAATTTATTGCCACAGGGGCCCGCCGGTATAACTGCTTACTGACTATACACTGTAACGTTACTGCATGATTGTAGCAGGTTTACTAACGCATTAGTTCTATTAGCTATGTTGACTAGGACGTTACTTTAGCTAATATGGGGACAACGATGTAGGATGTGTGTAGAGGTTATGACATGGTTTGGCTTGGAAACGAGACGGGGAGAAAATACCTGAATTTGTCCAATAGAAACTCTTGTTTGCATCTGTTGGGCTAATGATTACACCCTAGATAAGCTAGATGCAGGCAAGAGTGTGCAAGGCGGTATTGAATATGTCACTGTCTGTCATCTCACATTTTCCTCTCGACCTGTGTGCACCTACGTTGTAAACTTTTATTCATAGGCTAGGTTGCAGCAACCTCATGATGGGTATAGGGCAAATTTGAGTATCATGTAGTAGCCTAAACCTATCGTTGTTACATTGAACTGGTTGAATGGAATAAGAATGACAGTCATCCAACATGTAATAGAAATAAGGCCATGCTCATGAAAAACAAATGGTCCTCCCTCATCATAAACAGCACTGATCGCCACTGGTTTGGACTGATGATTACACCCAAGTACACATTGCACCGCTCATGAGGAACTATTAGGTTCCTCAATATAAAAAGTATGGATTTAAGCAAACAAAGAACTACAGAGGACAAACATTGGCGTTTCATAATTCAATTTTTTTGAAGTATTGACCTTGGGCGAATCAATGTAGTCGGAGCTAGATTCCACAAAGCCTGGTCTCGGCTCCACGCCTTTAATGAAGGTTATAAACTTCATTCACCGTGGAGTTTAGTCCGCTACTGAAATGTCTGTCTTTCTGGTTGATTTCTGTTCAGAGTAAGAGCAGCATTTCAACCACCTCCACTTTCCACCACAAGAGGGGGAGAGTGACGCACTGATCATGAGAGAGCGTGAGTATCGGTTTGCCTGAGTAAATTCAACCATATACAGTCTACCAGGACTACAATCCTATATAAAGTGCTATGTAGTGCGCTAGTGAATAGGGTGCCATTTGGGACACACAAATATTCCCCATATCATCTCTTAGCCGTGATTACAAAATGCCTCAGGAGTGTAGGGAGAGATGGAAACTTACATACCACAGAGGAATAACTTCAGGCAGTGTGTCACACACCCACATAGTGGATCCCCACCAGTGGCGGCTGGTGGGAGGAGCTTTAGGAGGACATGCTCATTGTAATGGCTGAAATGGAATAAATGGAACGGTATCAAACACATCAAACATATGGGACCACATGACTCAGTTCCGTTTATTCCACTCCAACCATTACAATGAGCCAGTCCTCCTATAGCTCCTCCCACCAGCCTCCACTGATCCCCACAGTACCATGGGGGGCCTATTCAATCAAAACTGTTTAAAGAGAACATTTTCTTGAGTGCATCAGAACACATTTGCAGGATGCTGTAAGAAGAATTACATGCTTGACTTTGTGGTTACTTACAGAGTTTGATTGAAAAGAGCTCCTGTGGATGCATGTCATCCTACAGTCTGTTACCATGAAAAACCACACTGTGATTCGACACTAGATAACCCCCTTCCTCTCTATCTGAAATGTCTTGCTTGTCTTGTTACATCACCACACTAGTGTCTGTTTGAAGATGTTCCGGATCCTTCTCTTGAAAACACTACAAACCCAAGCCAGCAGAAAAAAGTAGGGGGATTGAAAGAGGTGAAGGTGAAGTGAAGTGGTTAGCCATAGCAACTTTGATCTCTGTCTCAATACACACACACACACACACACACTTTACATCCATCACACACAGACCCAACTCAGAGAACACAGTGGGGAATGCAGCGCCGTTGCCATGGGGACTGGAAGCCTTCCGATGCCTCTCTGCCACACACACACACACTGAGAGGGGCCTGGCTGTGTGTTCCTCTCGCTGGCCAATTAGCCTAGCCACTGTTATCTCCCCTCAGAGTGGTTTACATTACAACCCTGACAGCCTGCTAGCCAATGGTCAGGTGAGCTGTCCTATCCACAGCTGGCCATGTCAACATGGTGAGGAGGGCCATTCTGTCAACACAGGCCTGGGATTTATGTAAAGAGCAGGTAAGTGGGTTTCCTAACGCTAAAATGGCAGTTGGCTTTGAGACTAATTGACTTGGGAGGGATGAGGAAAGGAGAATAAAAGTGAGAAGTGACATTGATTTGTTATTGAAAATGGGCATACAATTATTATGACACTGTTTCTCTCCAGATTATTATGGCCTTCAAATGGCAAAGAAAAATAAGTACAAGTTCAATGAAAGGGCATAATGGGAATCGGGAATCTTTTCTGTTGTGAATCTCATGGAGACAGACTTTATTATGTGTACTCTATGCAGACAGAAGGATAATCATATATTCTGTGCTTATATATATAGCTCTGGAAATCAATAATGTGAATAACATCGCTGAACGGCGTCTTGCTGGAGCTACTTTGATGTAAACAGCAAGGCGTTGAGATGCTAGCTCTGCTTGACACTGGAGGTTACAGTGTCAGAATGGGGAAGAAAATCTTCCATCAAAGCAAAAAGCTTCAATGTACTGAACCCTCCGTGCTCTGTTGACACCATTCTTCTTCGTATCGTTTGATATAGTCTAGGATTAGCAAGAGAGCAGAGGCAAAGTCTTTTGAAGATAAAGAAACAAGACCAAAACAATTGCATAAGACTTGTATAACTGACACAGATGGCTACATCTCCACACAACAAGCGGAGCTACCAGCTTTATGAGTGAGGACAGAGGACAGGTGTGCTCTGCCCTAGCATCCCCATGAGCATGCACGCATCCACACATCCTCCCTTTCCAATTCTCCCTTGAAAAAAGATAATCTAATTTTTAATGGGAAAGTGGTCCATTCTAAAGAAGACCGATCAGGCACGACAGAGTGTCCAAACACTGTGCAGCTGTACCATAGGGCCAGAAACAGGAGACCTGGGTCGTATTCGTTAGGACAAAATGAGCATTTCTTATTGGACCAAATCCAAGTAGTCCCTCCCTGTTTCAGTCTGTTTCCTTCCGTTTGGTACCTAATGAATACCACCCAGAGGGACTGTCAACAACATTTGCCACAAGCTGTTCAACCCCCTGAATGTCACCTCAACTCAACTCCCAGAATAGGTGGATGTACCAATGCACCAAGTCACACCTTAAACCCCCATTCACACCAAGCTGTCTGAGATTGTCCATGTTCTCATTCCCTCATTGGAACAGAGATGTTTGTTCTAATCTGGTTGCCACGCCCATTTATGTCCATCCACATCATTTGGATCAGAGTGTTAGGCGATAGAAGTAGAACTGGAGTTCTGTGGTGTGAGTGAGCTGTCAGGTAGTAGAGGCACAGCATGTACATTTGGGCTTTGTTGCCACGGGAGACCACACACGGTTGGCCATACTGTAAAGCAGTGTTGATGAATACTGCTCTGTCTGCATTTTTCATCTGATATGTAACATGCATATCCTTCTAAAAGCATTGTTTTGTCATGTGACTGTTTAAAGCCCCCATGCAGTCTTTGTAATTGTATTTTTAAATCATCCCTGTCTGTCTAATAAATCACTGTGTGTGTTTATTTAATGAAAATAACGTACTTCCCTGAGCCTCCTTTGGCCATTGATTGTGTGGGCATTAGGAAACAAATTTGAAGATATTTACATAAGCAGCCCTGATTGGCTGATAGGATGGTCTAGAGCCCATCCTCTTATTCAGATGAACAGTCATTGGTCAATTATATTCAGATCACATGATGATGTGGGCCAAACGTTCATCCCACCTGAACAGGCTAAAATTCCAGGCATTTGTTTTTCAAACAGCTCTTACACAAAAAGGGCATTAATAATAATTTGTGTTATTTCGACCTCATAGTGTGGAAATATCAATACAAAAACAGGACATTTTAAGAATGACACCAATTAATTGTCTGACTATTGACAATATAGTGCATTAGCTACAGTATAGTTCTATGATTGTGTTATTATATTGGAGCTTCTTATCTACGGTGACTAACACGTCAACACCACAGCGTGCCTTGCAACGTGTTATATGATTCATTTCTGCAGCAGCTGGGCACACATGGCATAATTCAGGTTAAGTGCCAGGCTGAAGGATGCCCATCATGCTTATGAGTGCCAGTAGGCCAAAACCGGTAGTGTCCCCACTGTCTACACACTAAAAACTCACACTAAAACACGGACAAAGTAGACTAAACACTGTGTCCACAATAACACAAACACAATAACACTCCCATGAGTGCAAGTAGGGCAACACCAGTATACGCAGTGTCCACAAGGACACTACCACTAACCTACTTACACAATAACACACTGGTACACAGAAGCACAGAATCCACTGCAGTTTACTGGGTTGATAATGGATGGGTTGACAGCTGTCCAGTGTGTATGCCTCTCTGCTGTTCTGGGTCATAAACATATGGAAATGGGAGCAAGTCATCCCTCAAATCCGTTTTTAGATAGTTATATATCTTGTGGTAATAAAGGAAAGATTTGTTTTTAAAATATAGGATTTATATCTGTTGTCCTTGGATAAGAACCAATTTGTCATGTACTCAAACCCACCATGAGAGAATCATATCCAAATCCCTGTTTATGTCCAACTGTAGCATTCCACGTGTACCCCACCTGCTAATGCAATGAACGCTCCTGTCTTTTCTGTTGAATATCAATCTGTTTTGATCAATGCCATACAGATCACAGGTTGGTGGCACCTTAATTGGGGAGAACGGGCTCGTGGTAATGACTAGAGCGGAATCAGTGGAATGGTATCAACTACATCAAACACATGGTTTCCAGGTTTTTGATGCCATTCCATTTACTCTGTTCCGGCCATTATTATGAGCCGTTCTCCCCTCAGCAGCCTCCACTGATACAAATATATTATTTAATATAAATAACGAAGTAGCTTATTGCAGAATTGTGCAGAATGCACATGGCAATGACTGAGTCCTGCTCAATTGCACCAATAAACAGCAAGCCTACCCCCAAGCCATAAGACTCCTGAACAGCTAATCATGGCTACCCGGACTATTTGCACTGCCCCCCCACCCCATCCTTTTTACGCTGCTGCTACTCTGTTAAGTATTTATGCATAGTCACTTTAACTCTACCCACATGTACATATTACCTCAACTACCTCAACTAGCCGGTGCCCCCGCACATTGACTCTGCAACGGTACCCCCCTGTATATATAGCCTCCCTACTGTCACTTTATTTTACTGTATATATAGCCTCCCTACTGTCACTTTATTTTACTTCTGCTCTTTTTTTCTCAACACTTTTTTTGTTGTTGTTTTATTCTTACTTTTTTTGTTTAAAATAAATGCACTGTTGGTTAAGGGCTGTAAGTAAGCATTTCACTGTAATGTCTGCACCTGTTTTATTCGGCGCATGTGACCAATAAAATTTGATTTGATTTGATTTGAAGCCTCATGGGTACAATCTCTATATATGGATTAACCAAGGCTGAATCAAGCACCATTAAAATCAAACACTTAGGCTGCATTGATCCCGTATGAATCGATACACCTGCTCTGCACACTAACTGTTACCTAACACACAGACCCATGAGAACACACGCACACACGCTCTCACAGCAAGATACACAATGAATGAGCTCATATCAAACAGCATCTCTCTCTACCTCTCCATTAAAGAGCAAACTTCTAGATTAATCTTGCCTCAACAATTCCTAGTTCCAAGAAAAATGGACCAAACTATGAAGAATCCACAGTAATGTATGTCTGTGGCTTTCTGCTCCTTCAAATCAAAGACCCAACCGCCGTCCTCTTCATGTGGGCAGATGAGTCAATAGCCCTGCCGGTGCTGGCTTGAATGGTGACATGTGGTCAATGTATACACAGAGTACACAGAGAATAGGCCTGCAGATGGATCTCATTAGGGAAGACCCCCACACCTTTCCCATGCACCACTGCGTCGGCCATTTCCTCCTCATCAAAGGGGGAGGCGGCTAAGTAACCTATGTTGCTGTGTTTATGTAACACCAGGCAACCCAGCCCTCCTCCCCCTCCTCACATTCTGGGTTGTCTTGAGAGCACTGAGAGCGTATTTCTCTAGTATTGTTGTATTGATGCGCCTAGTCTCCTCCATTAGGCCTGAGTGCTCTGCAGCGAGAGAGAGAGAGAGAGAGAGAGAGAGAGAGAGAGAGAGAGAGAGAGAGAGAGAGAGAGAGAGAGAGAGAGAGAGAGAGAGAGAGAGAGAGAGAGAGAGAAGTGCCAGTCACTATTATAAAGAGTAAGGTGGACAGGCTTAGATAGATAGACTTCAGCCAGTTTAGAAACAGTCATCTGACTGTGAAGCCAGTTATCAGACCGATGGGGCCAACCCTTCAGACTCTGGCCCATGGGCTGAGGGCGACACACATACACACACGCTCACACACAGTGTGTGTGGTGTTTGGGACTACTGTATGGTAAATACAGTGGGAGGCCCATTGAAGAGCAGAGAGTCCCTGAAATGGAGTGGAAGGGCGTGAAGGAGGAAGGATTGTTGGGTGTTTACCCTCATATTCAACCCCTTCTTAGGCCTGGAATCCTCTATCTTGCTGTGCAAATGGGGGGGAAGAGGCAGCAACAGTCACTTAGAGTTTCTCAACCTCTGAGGGCTCCAATGGTTGCATAATTGCGTTCCAGCCCAGCACTAACGCACGTGATTCAAATAGAAATCCAATATGGATGGTGTTAAGAGATAGATGGGTGGTGTTGAATGGAGTTGAAGGATGGGACTAATAACAACTAACAACAACTAATAATAACAAGATAACTAATAATGTAAGCATACTGTGTCCCTAATAAGTATATAGGTTATAGGTTGAGAGCTTTTGTGAAAGAGCACAGTTAGAAAGATATGGCATATAGAAGCAAACCAGATGGACATCATGAAAATGATCGGAGAGGTTGAGGGTAGAGGAAGTTCAGGAGTAAAAACAAACAAAATATAATTATTGTAAAATTGACTGTGTCCATACAATGTATATAGTATGTATAAGCTGGAAGTAGAGGCCTAAGCATTGTTGTTCACTAGTTTACTCTAATTAGGGAAGGGGTGGTGGGGTTGGAAATAATAAAGGGAAATATATTTTAAAAAAGGATATGTATATGTATGTATATATGTATGTATGTGTATATATATATATATATATATATATATATATATATATATACACACAGTATCTCACGAAAGTGAGTACACCCCTCACATTTTTGTAAATATTTGAGTTTATCTTTTCATGTGACAACACTGAAGAAATGACACTTTGCTACAATGTAAAGTAGTGACTGTACAGCTTGTATAACAGTATAAATTTGCTGTCCCCTCAAAATAACTCAACACACAGCCATTAATGTCTAAACCGCTGGCAACAAAAGTCAGTACACCCCTAAGCGAAAATGTCCAAATTGGGCCCAAAGTGTCAATATCTTGTGTGGCCACCATCATTTTCCAGCACTGCCTTAACCCTCTTGGGCATGGAGTTCACCAGAGCTTCACAGGTTGCCACTGGAATCCTCTTCCACTCCTCCATGACGACATCATGGAGCTGGTGGATGTTAGAGACCTTGCACTCCTCCACCTTCAGTTTGAGGATGCCCCACAGATGCTCAATAGGGTTTATGTCTGGAGACATGCTTGGCCAGTCCATCACCTTTACCCTCAGCTTCTTTAGCAAGCCAGTGGTCGTCTTGTAGGTGTGTTTGGGGTCGTTATCATGTTGGAATACTGCCCTGCGGCCCAGTCTCCGAAGGGAGGGGATCATGCTCTGCTTCAGTATGTCACAGTACATGTTGGCATTCATGGTTCCCTCAATGAACTGTAGCTCCCCAGTGCCATGACACTCCCACCACCATGCTTGACTGTAGGCAAGACACACTTGTCTTTGTACTCCTCACCTGGTTGGCGCCACACACGCTTGACACCATCTGAACCAAATAAGTTTATCTTGGTCTCATCAGACCACAGGACATGGTTCCAGTAATCCATGTCCTTAGTCTGCTTGTCTTCAGCAAACTGTTTGCGGGCAATCTTGTGAATCATCTTTAGAAGAGGCTTCCTTCTGGGACGACAGCCATGCAGACCAATTTGATGCAGTGTGCGGCGTATGGTCTGAGCACTGACAGGCTGACCCCCCACCCCTTCAACCTCTGCAGCAATGCTGGCAGCACTCATACGTCTATTTCCCAAAGACAACCTCTGGATATGACGCTGAGCACGTGCACTCAACTTCTTTGGTCGACCATGGCGAGGCCTGTTCTGAGTGGAACCTGTCCTGTTAAACCGCTGTATGGTCTTGGCCACCGCTGTATGGTCTTGGCCACCAGCTCAGTTTCAGGGTCTTGGCAATCTTCTTATAGCCCAGGCCATCTTTATGTAGAGCAACAATTCTTTTTTTCAGATCCTCAGAGAGTTCTTTGCCATGAGGTGCCATGTTGAACTTCCAGTGACCAGTATGAGGGAGTGTGAGAGCGATGACACCAAATTTAACACACCTGCTCCTCATTCACACCTGAGACCTTGTAACACTAACGAGTCACATGACACCGGGGAGGGAAAATGGCTAATTGGGCCCAATTTGGACATTTTCACTTAGGGGTGTACTCACTTTTGTTGCCAGCGGTTTAGACATTAATGGCTGTGTGTTGAGTTATTTTGAGGGGACAGAAAATGTACACTGTTATACAAGCTGTACACTCACTACTTTACATTGTAGCAAAGTGTCATTTCTTCAGTGAAAAGATATACTCAAATATTTACAAAAAAGTGAGCGGTGTACTCACTTTTGTGAGATACTGTATATATATATATATATATATATATATATATATATATATATATATTTGCGAGAGAGAAAAAAACATATGGGGGATTGGAAGTGATGCAGACAATTACATTGATGGAAGTTACAATCTATCTGCAATATTAAAGCTGATCTACCCCCTAAATAAAACAAGTTAAAAAAATGCACGTGATTCAATTAATCAAAGGCTTGAAGATTAGTTGAGTAGTAGAATCGGGCGTGATATTGCTGGGATATTGCTGGGCGGCTGGTAGCCTAGCTGTGAAGAGCGTTGGGCCAGAAACCAAAAAGTTGCTGGTTTGAATCCCCGAGCCGACTAGGTGAAAAATCTGTCAATGTGCCCCTGAGCAAGGCACTTAACCCTAATTGCACCTGTAAGTTGCTCTGGATAAGAGCATCTACTAAAATGTAAATGTAACTAAAAAGGTGCAACTCTGGGATACACCAAGGCTGGATTTCAAATTAACTGCCTCAGATGTTAATGAAGTGTTCATAAGTTGTCAGTGCAGCATGTCACATTCAAGGGGATAACCTGTGATGATGTTAGTCAAGTGTTGACAGTCACAAGTCTATTTCTGTATGCATATCTAAAGTGTGGATACCTAAAGTGTGCTACAATACAGTCCACAGTATTAGGCTGGGTATCTGTATAGCACTTTGTGACAACTGCTAATGTAAAAAGGGCTTTATAAAATACATTTGATTGATTGAGTAAACTGCTCTGTAACTAGTGTTTAATTTGGAAGCAACCAGTGTTCCCTCTAATTCTTTTCACCACTGAGCAAATTTCAGGTCTGCTGAGTGCAAACTTTAACATGAAAATTCTGTGCAACTTCCAGCGCGCGTTTACTGTGAACACTGAGGCTGTACCAGCTTTAAGTTATAGTTTTAACAGTGGCCAAGTAGGCTGTTGTGGCTACTTGATCATAATGTAGGCCTACCAGAGTGGCCTACCATCAAAAACAACGGATAAAATGCATCCATAACATTTTAACATTGAAAAAGCTGTTCTATCATTTAGCCTACAGTAGCAGCCAATGTGTGGTGTTCAATGTAGGCCTACATTCCATGAGACCTTTGAAAAAAACATGCAGGACTTGAACATTTTGTTGTGTTGTTTGATGCAATAAACCACTTTACAAAATAAAATTCATTATTATTCCCATACCATTATTACAGAGAATCAGACAAATTATGCTAACCTCTGCCTATTGGCTACTTAGATTATTCAAGCCTGTCTCAAAATACAACACTGCCCCTTTAAGACATAAAAAAGCTCTTTACCTGACTTGTTTTTCGAAGATGTCTAGAAATGTACACGTTTTGTGCTTTTGTAGGAAGCATTCACTCCCCCATTGCTGACTACAAAGTATCTATAACTGGGCTAATAACTCACTAACTAGCAAAGGATATGAACAAAATGTGCACACATCTACTCACGACCACATCTGTAAACACAGTCCAGTTCAAAGTAAATGGCACAGATCCATATATGACAATGGTCTATTTGCATGTAGGCCTACTGCACCTCTGATTGGTTATGCCGCACAGGCCTGTGTAGAGTATGGGCTGAGTTGTGCACAATAGAATCCTACTCCGATGCGTTCTGCCTACAACAAAATCTCTTGCATAGTTCGTTTTGTTTTGGTATGTTGCATTGAAATTGGCTAATATTGTTGATTCAGTCACAATTGCCACAGTAAAGAGAAATGTTGATAATGTTAACTAACAGGGAAAACTAGAAAGTTGAGTGAATTTCAATCTCATGCTTCTCTCAGTGGGCTGATAGTTGTTCTGTGCTCTGCACAGAGCTGCACGGCAGTCTCGGGCTACTGCGCGCCCGCCCACAGTTTAGAGGGAACATTGGAAGCAACTACCTGTTATGTACCCAGAACACAGACACTGTCTGTTCCTTTTGACACTGGACTTGTGGAAACACACCCACATTAAGCCTTCCGACTGTCTGCAAACACAGACTAAAAACCCACAATGCATTTGGAAAGAGAGACAGCATGAGCCAGCAAGGCGCCTGGAACCCAAATCTGGTTAAATCAATATTGGACAGAGAGAACAGCTGAAGGTCTGTATCTCAAGCCTTTGTCTCAACTGTTAGTCAGTTCCTGTCACGGTCGTTGAAGAACGGGTCAGACCAAGGCGCAGCGTGAAATGCATACATGTTTATTAAACAATAAACTTACAACAAAACAATAAACAACGAAACGTGACGTCGGAAGGCTATACACTAACAAGCCAAACACCGAACACAAACAAGATCCCACAACACAGACAGGAAAACTGGCTGCCT